GAGATTTAGATGACGGTTGCCATTAATGACTAACTTCTTTAGACTTAACTGATTAGAGGAGGTAAGGAGCGAAAGACGTTCAGGATGGGCTTTTTTTTTTTGTGCCTTAGAGGCACCCAAACTATTGAACTTCCTTACAATATTCTACACTGCCAACTTGCTGCAACCAATGACGACCGCAATAGTGCGAAGCGAATCATCTCGTAAGTGACCATAGATTATAGAACTTCGTTGAACCTCCGTTAGATCTTTCTTGCTACCCATCGATCGCCGTGAAAAAAAAAATCTCCTTTTATTTAATTTCAACTGACTTGTTATACAAACTTATCTTTTTTGCTTAAAGTAGTATTAACTAAGTGTCACGAATGACCTTGAGAAGAAAAAACCGGAAAAAAAAACTTTTTTAAAAAAAAAAAGGAAATTGATTTTTGCTCTAACCTAAAAACAGTAATTTGTTTTGCTTATTGCATAACTTTTGCGCAATGTAGTCAAATGACATAAAATTTTAGTATGTTGTACCCCGGGAGTTATCAAACATATGACAAAAATTTCATATAGAATTTATTTGTCCAATATGAAGCAATTATGATTTCAAAGTGTCCACAATTCATTGGTAGGCCACTGTAGTACATTATGCTCTTATCTGCGCCAAACCGATCTGCAGTATGGACTAGATAATAGAGCTACCCCCACAACGGGTACTTCCCACAACGGGTTAACCCGACTGAATTGCTTTTGAAGTGAATTAGAAATTAACTGGCCACAGTTGTGTACTCCCCACAACGGGGTTAAACCGACTGAATTGCTTTTGAAGTGAATTAGAAATTAACTGGCCACAGTTGTGTACTCACCACAACGTGCTTTTTTAGTTTGAGCACGGCTACAAATGCTGGTGGTATTGTAACTTGGCTGTGTACTACCCATTACATATTTGAGTCGAATTTATAACATCCGTTCCATATTTAAAAACATAATTTTAATAAATGAGTTAGAAAGGAGTTAAGAATGAACGGATACTTCTTTAGACATAGGTAGTCCATATTTCCATAGTCATTTTATCATTTAATTATGCATGTTAGAGTTCCGAGCGAGAAATAATTTGTAAAAACATTGATCAATTAATGTTACAATTTTAGAGAATTAGATAATTACATAACTGTATGTGGCATTAACTGGCTGAGTACAGATGGTCTCTAAACTCGTAATTTCGCGGTTTATAGTACCCGCGTGACGCAATTGCGCTAAATGAGAAAAATTTGATTTCACATTGCGTTCCTGTATATTTATTATTTTAACGGTTTGTAGGTATTTTACACCGTGGCTTAAGGTAGATTACTGTACGGGAACTGGGCGGTGTTTAAAAAATTTTGGAATTGGAGAATTAGAGATTAATTTTTTATATAAAGGTCGCGATTACATCTGTCTTTCAAGCTAACGTCCATTTTTTCTTTATAATTTAATTGACCAATTCTATTTAACCTAACCCTAACAGACTCGATCAAAAGAAATCTAATCTTCAAGATGAACTTCAAAACCTTGCTTATTATTGCAGTAGTTTTCGCTACTCTATTC